GGTTTCTGCTAACAGATCCTGCTTTTGCTACTTGTTGTGCCAAACAAAGGTCGGCAGCGGGCCCCCCCCTCTCCGGGAAGCCCCCCCGGTCGGCTAAACGTGTGGTCACAACTAAAGTGCTTGATGAGATAATGGAGCCCGAGCGGGGGCGGGAACACAGAAACCAGCAGCGGCTCCTGTGGGGGGGTGGGGGAGGGAGGGAGGGAGGGAGGGGGGGTTTGGGTGACAGAGGCACAGACTGGGAGCGGCCCCCTTCCCTCCGTCTCTTTCCTTTATTCCCGCTCACGTTTGGGGGGCTTTCCCCTCTGGCAGGATTCAGAGGGTCAGCAGCAGAGGGGCGGGGCAGCGGGGGGGTGGGGGGTCAGGGGGGGGTGGCCTAGCCGCTGCCCCCGGCGGCGGCGGCCTTCAGGCTGTCCTCGGCCACGCCCTGAGAGGCCAGCTCAGACAGGACGTTGTCCAGGTAGTTGGGGTCCGGGTATCCGTGGCCCGACAGGTTGGACATCATCTCCGTCTTGTGGTGGATGCCGTTCCACACCACCGTGTCCGGCTCCCCCGTGGTGCTGGACGTCCCCACCGTGAAGATCAGCCGCCGCATCCACGCCACCTTCAGCAGCTCCAGCACCTGCAGGCAAACGCACACACACACACACACACACACACAGGTAGCAGCAGAGCACACACACCTCTGATGAGACTCATTTTTATTTTAGGAGGGCATTAATCCTTTGTAAAAATGTTAAAAGCCACAGAAATAGTTCTGTGGCACCGTGGCCCCAAATTCCCAACGAGGAAAAAGCTAAAAAAGTCCAACTTGAGAGCTGCTCCTGTGAAACAGGAAGTTCTGATGCCCAGTGAATGCAGCAGGAGATGATAAAGAAACAGGAAAAGGAGCAAAAGCTGAGCTGAAGACCCCTCACATGACCCCTCAGATACAGATTCCATTGGAACAAAAAGGATTTTGTGATAGCTTAAAAACTAAGTATTTTGAAGGAAAAAAAAAAAAACCCAGCCGGGCAGGAAGTCCCAGCAAAGCCACCAATCAGATCCAGAGCTACTCT